AGAGAGAGAGAGAGAGAGAGAGAGAGAGAGAGAGAGAGAGAGAGAGAGAGAGAGAGAGAGAGAGAGAGAGAGAGAGAGAGAGAGAGATGAGCCATACAAGTTTGGTTTACTACGTACGTGTGTTGAAGACATCGCTACGGAGAGAGAGAGAGAGAGAGAGAGAGAGAGAGAGACAACTACGTACCTGTGTTGAAGACATCGCTACGGCGAGAGAGAGAGAGAGTGTTACACACTGTGTCACATGGGCCCGGTTAGGCCCGACAGATAGGGGTTCGAAGGCCGGTCCAGGCCCAAGGCCGGACCTTTAGACCGGAGGCACCACTGTAGGCCCACCGGTTGGCCTTTAGGCCACAACTGGGACCAGACCAGATGGGCAGGCCCAAACGACATTACCGTTGGGCCTGGCGGCGCTCTTGAGGCTGCCGCCCGCCGGTCTGATCGGCCTCGCAGCATAGAGGTCGGCCTTCCACATCGATACTTAGGTACCAGGAGGTCACCTTCCCAGGCATTCTGGAGCAGCAGCATTTCGGAGGAGCGCTGTGCTATTTCTGTTAGAGCGCAGCGCTACAGCAGCAGAGCGAGGTTAGCGCGAGACTGCAGTTCGGGATAGAGAGCGAGCGAGGTACTTACCTGGCACTTACCGGTGGCGCCATAGCTTCAGAGGGCTTCGACTGCAGACGACTTCTATTCAAGGCGCCACCTTGCATCCAGCAGGTCAAGCTTCGGGCCAGGACAGGGTAATGAGGACTCTTCCTCCTCCCTACCTCACCATCTCTCCCTCCTCCTCTGCTACCTCCTCTTCCTCTCCTTCTTCTTCTTCGTCTTCAGACTCTTCTTCTTCTTCTTCTTCTTCTTCTTCTCCTTCAGACTCATTTTTCATCCTCTTCTTACTCAGACTGGAGACTTAGCTACAAGTTGGACAAAGATCAGTGTTGGGATTTCGGTGGTAAGAGGCTGTGATACTTACCGGATTCGAGACTTCGAGATTGTTGGGATTTATACTCGGGGGCATCACAGATTGGACACCGGTTACATTAGGACTCTATACCTCCGACATTGGTGACTTATTGTCCACGACATTTTGATCTTGTTCGATGACATTTTGGACTACCATATCGGTGACCTACTGGATTCTATCTCGGTGACATCTAGCGCTGCCTACATCTCCCACCTCCTTCGTCTCTCCTCCCACCTTTCATCTGTGCATGGTTGTACGGGGCCTGAGCATGGTCTATGATTGGCTCAGACCCCACCATCTCACGATTGTTTGTGTGTTGAGTGATATCTGTATGAGTTTAGTCTATGTGAGTCAGTCCATTTCTCAGACTTCCGCATACATGCTCATCCTTGTTGGTTGATCTTTGGTTTTGCCCATACTTGTTGAAGTATTCACGAGTATGCAACAGTTTTGGTATCGTAGCAGACCAATCAATGGATCTGCTCACAAGGTAATTCTGATTAGGGAGATTGCTCAATTAGCACTATTCGATTTTCCAAATCAGTTCTGCATTACTATCGAGATTCAAAGTTGCAAATTTTTTTTTTCTTCGGTATTCTGTTGTCATTCGGTATTCCGTTTTATTTCGGTATTCTGTTTTAAATCGGTATTCTAAAATCGATTTTCCATTTTTAATTTTGTATTCTGTTGTAATTCGGTATTCCGTTTTATTTTAGTATTCTGTTTTAAATCGGTATTTTGAAATCGATTCTCCGTTTTAATTCGGTACTCTGATTTAATTCGGTATTCTGTTTTAGTCCGATACTGAATTAGGGTTGCGATAAAATCTCGGGTTTTTTTTGGTATCGAGGAAATTCGCATTTTGGAACCGTAAAACAGGAAATTCCGCGGAATCGCAAAAAATTAGGGTTGGAATCCGAAATTTTTGCGAAATATTTTTTCTTTTCCCTACTTTTAAAATTCCCGAACCCGGACTTTCGGCCTTCTGAAAATCGGACCTTGTTAAGGTTGAAATCCCTGAAATTTCACGTTTTTCAAAATTCGAGTGTTTTCCTTTTTCCTGACTATCCGAAACTTTTCCAGTTGGCAGACTATTTGAAATCGTTACCCCAAAACTGCAACTTCCGAGTAGTTCACTAACAAACGGTGAACTCCCAAACCATAGGTGATCTCAACGGATACCTAATCTCGCCACAATTTAAAATTCGTTATTAATTGTTATTGCAATTATTGATTAATTTTATTGATTATTATTAAGAGACTATTAATTCGTTATTAATTATTAATTAAAATTTATTGATTATTAATTCGTTATTATTTCTTATTTCGAATTTTAAGTTGTTTTGGGGGAAAAGTTCAGCTTTTTCTTTTGATTAGGTGTCTAGTCCACATTGGGACAGGGGACTGTATGTGAATTGCTTGATCTGTTCTACCCCTGTTCCCACACTCCCTGCCCTCCCCGTACTCTGTGACCACCGGGACTTCTCAAGTACCACATCAGCTCAGGCTGATGTCGATGGAACAGGACACCGGGGTACTGCCTCGACGCAGTGCCAGGATCGCAGTTCGTAGCCACTCTGTTTTACCTCCACGCCAAGTATCAGCAACAGCGACTCAGCAGGCGAACGACTCCAGCGGCATCGAGTACAGCAACTGTAGTAACGGTTACCACCGGGGCTCTTCCCGCATGTCCGGTCCAAGGGGACCACGAGACGTTGTCAGATTACCTTCAGCGGGTACAGGCATTCACAGATGTCGTCGTTAAGGCCGAGCAGGAGGCAGCAGAGGCAGAACGACATCGGCTTGCCAATGAGGCGGCAGCCCAAGCTCAGCGAATCGCTGAGGCTGACGTGACAGTTCGAGACAAGCGGAACGCCATCAACATGGAGTCCTTGACTCGGAATGAGAGTCACTGGACAACACTACTCCAAGGCATGTTTTTTTAGCCTTCGGACGAGCAAGCAGATCCAACACCGGCGGAGGCAGAAAGGAGTAACTTGGCTAACCTGATGCTGGCCATGATGAGGGCGGTATGTGGAACAATACGATGTTGACAGTGCAGATACACGAGGGTAGACAGCTGAGACAGACTCAGCAGAAAGACGTTGCAGCCTTAATAGCCGCTGTTCGCGCTGCCGCCACACATCAGCAACAACAGCAACAACTGTTGAACACCACCACCACACGCATTAACAGCATCGACGCTAAGGCCTCAGCAGCGCCAGGCTGCACGACAGACACGGTGAAGCAGCTCGGGGAGCGCATCGACCATGTTGTCACTATTATCGGCGAACTAGGTGACTTCACTAGTACGACCACAATCAGCAGCACGGTGGCCGCCATCAAGACGGACATCACCAAACTGCAGTCAAGACCGGACGCCGCTACAAAGGCATACAAGATGCCACGCTTCAACATCGGCAAATTTTACGAGTACAACAAGACGGACGCCTTGACATGGTGGCAAAGCTTCCTCATCAAAGCATCCTGCCACACTGTACCGGCCGAAGACATGATGAAAGCTCTACCTCCAACTCATTGGAGGAGCACAGGCATGGATGAACCATACCACGACCAATCCGAAATGCACCATCGCCCAACTGCACACGCACATTCCGTGGAAGCAGTTCGAGCAAATGTGGTTCACTTGATTCATGGTCCGCAACGTTGTAAAGGCGGCCATGAACGACATCTACTCCAGCTCACAAGGGAACATGCCAACTCGAGACTGGACGATCAAGTGGCAATAGATAGTAACCACTCCAGGCTTCGACTTGAGTTTTCCAAACCAACGATCCAAATTCTTTTCGCGATTGTGCGCAGGACTCCGCTCGGCACTCGGCAACGAGTACGACTGTGCCTCATTCCAGGCTATTCTGGATCGTGCGAACCTGGTCATCCAAACGGATGACAAGGCCGCTAACGAACGGCCGTCCCGGCCGCACTATGTGGCTAAGCAAGGCTACCAACGACCGGCACATAACAATGTCGTGATTCCTAACCAATCAATAGATCTCCACGCTGCAGCAGCATCCTCGAGTGATGGAGGAGTTGTCGCAGCGCTCCCGCCGAAGCGTCCCAAGAGAGTTCGGAAGAACAAGGCGATACAAGCGACAACATCGACAGCAACTGGGCAGCAACCATGGACGACATACAACATTACCAAGGAAGTATTTGACCTTCGTCAACGGTACGGATATTGCCTTTGGTGCAATAGTGTAAAGCACACTACTGCACAATGCTCGGAAAAGGGCAAGGCACGTGTACCCCGTCCAGCTAACTCGGGAATCTGAGTTGCGCACGGAGAGGGGTGACGTTGTGACGAACCACTTTCTGTCTCCGCGCGGTGACAATGAGGGGTCCTAAGATGGGAAGGTTGGGCCAATTACGGGAAATCGGGATCGACGGGGAAATTGCATCGGTGTCCTCACTTCTTCGTCTTCTTGCGTCGCTCCTTTTCGGATGGCTGGGTTCAGGGCTGGGCAAGTCTCTGGATGATCGGTTGAGTGGCGCGTCTCCGCGCGCGTGATTAATGGTTGATGTCGCTTCGTTTTGTTTTGTTGTCGGGTTTTTGGGGCGGTGATCGCGCGGGAGTTTTGCTTCTCCCTTTTTGAAATTCTTTTTCGAATCTTGTCGAGCCCTCGATGGCTCTTGGAATTTCGGACTTTCTTTTCGGATTTGTGCTTAGTTCTTTTTGCATTTCTGCATTAGATAGGAATTTAGGAATTTAGGAATTCGGGACTTCTTTTGTCGCGCATTGCTGCCCGCTTCTTTTTGCAGCTGCAGCAACGGAGCTCTGATTAGTTGGCGCCCTTAATCTTGTGTGTAACTGTAATTTTTGGGCGGGCGCCATTGTAACTATATCTTCCTTCTTGAGCTTCATCTTTCCCGCCCTATCTTTTCCTTTTTTTGCTGTGTCTGGTTAGCCCGCGGGCTACATGATCAATCGATGCGTGGAGAGTGGCTACGTCCCCCACGCCGCGGTCAGGTCATGCAGAGAATAGGCAATCCCTTCCCTTCTCTTCTCCTAAGTCCTTGCAATTCCATGTTCTTTGCGCATGCATGCACGCTATAAATTCCGGCTGCGCGATTAGATAGCTCTCTTAAACAGTTGCTGGAAGCTCGGGGTAGCGCGATCAGTGAGGGTCGGCTCACGAGCGAAGTAAGGGGTAAGTTGAAGTGGGAGTTGGGCGACCCGACGAGCTGGTGCCGAATGTGCAGGATTGACGCGTGGGGCTACGCGGACTGTAGTGCGCGGGCGAATCCGGCGGGCACAGGAGGACTAAGCGGGGTGACAACTTCATGGGTTGGTGCGTGACGACGGACTGTCCGCATCGGAGAAAAAGAGAGAGAGTTGAGGTGGACGGACGTGGAGTTGTGATTTTCTTTGTCTTTTCCCTTGTTTTTGTATATAAGTTTTGGTTGCGGCTCGAGCAATTCGCCCTCATTTTCTTTCGGCACCTTTGTCTCAACGTTGTGCGGTGTCCTGCTCAGTCTCGATCCTTCCTCTTTTGTGTGTGTGTGTGTTAGGTAACCGAGTTTTGATGGAATGATAAGCTCGCCGTTTTTGCCTAATCATCATGGTTGCTGGTCATTTTTGAGCTGTTGATGTCATATTGTTGCGGTGCTTGATGTGTGCGATGTCACTCTACACGACCGGAAATGATTGTTTGCGGGATTATAAAATGATTGTTGGGAGATCATTTGCGCCATGTGGGGATTTTGCATGAAGGATTGAACTCTCACTTTTGCACAATAATCCACCAACAAGCCTGTGTACGACCGCACACCTCGGGTGTGCACGTGTAAGCGCGATCTGACCAGCGCGGCCTACACGTGTCCACACGCAGGCGATTCGCGATCACTAACGAACTTGGCACCTTCGATATCAGAATACGCGTGAAATTTTCCTTTTTGCAAGGTTTGGACCAATAGGAATTTCCGCCACCAAACCCGAAAATTCCCTCATCAACCGAAGCACGATCAAATGAATACACTAGAATGACAAGATGCCGTACGTCGCGAACTATGAGAATTTGCGGGATCCTGAATACTTAGAACGTTGGGGAGAAGGGTACCTTAGGCTGAGATATCTGGAATTCCCCTGTCTAACCGAGAACCGACTGTGCGCCAGGGAATTTCACTGCGCCGTAACCAGCAACCCAACGTGCCCCGATTACCCAACTACGTATAACACGCAATACTTCATATCCCCCGCCTTCGTCGTTATCACTACCAATTTCCCTCCCTTTCGCATCCTCCTCCCATACCACCAGCTCACGGTGGTTCCGTGGAACTCCATAGCCCCATATTGGCCCCACACGCCGTGCAAAAACTGCAGACGACGCGGCAACCGCCGAGCCTCGGGAATTACGGAGCCTAACCATAACGCAAGGGGACAATCGCCACGTGTCCCCACTCGGAGGTCCGACCCATAAAACAAGCGGATCGGACGACCCGGAATGCACCGCGTATGCCATCTGCCTCATGCAGCACGGCATCGACTGCCATCCGACCGAAAGTAACCTGTCCCTTAGCCTTATTGCACCTATGCCCCTGAGCCCTCGCCACAGGAGATCTTAGTTCTGACCTGGGACTCTACCCCCACTTTCCCAAAAATCCTTGGCACACCCCTTTTCGCACTTCCAGACCCACATCCCACTCCGATCAGGAAGTCGCGCTGGGCGTGAGGTTGGGCGTCACAACTCCTCTCCACACTCCGTCGGAACCGGTTGCCTTGCTAGCAACCGATATCACTATCGGGGAGCATGCATTAGCCGCTGATTCTCGTGCTACGTACGAGGATTATGCCACCCAGCTGGTGCCACCATTAGACCAGCCTAGCCACGTGCACTTAAATAGCGTATGCGCAGCCTGTACACCGTCGGCAAGTTGAATCACTTGGACGCCTCTACCCTCAACCGGAACCTTGCCAAGGCCGCACTGTAACGCCTTGATGGCAAATCTACGCTCCTACTTGCACGCTACAATACCAGCTCCGTTGACGGATGACGGAGTAGCGGTTGTCAATCTCCGCTCCTATCTCGCGAAGATTGGCCGCGAGTACGCCACCCAAAGGTACGTCGAAACCGACGCGCCTTTGCTCTATATCCGCATTCAAATCGGAAAGGCAACTTGTAGTGCCTTGATTGATTGCGGAGCATCTCGCAACTTCATGAGCCAACCCTTTATGGCCCGCGCAGGCCTTGGCCCGCGCGTTAGAAGGAAGACGCACCCTACGCAAGTTACACTCGCGAATGGCCGCACGCAAAAGTCGATTGACCGATGCATTGATGGCGTCCCGGTATACTTTGCGCCCCCTTGCGTGCGAGCCGGTGTCTTTCGACATCCTCGACACCAAGTTTGACATGATTTTAGGCATGTCTTGGTTGCGTAGCGCCGATCATCCGGTGAACTTTCATGACCGAACCGTTCATGTCCGTGATCGGAACGAAGTGTTAGTCCCATGTACGGTCGCAACCCCTCACACTTCGATTGCTTGTCACGTGGTTTCCGTTGCGAGAATTCGCGACGCGATAGCTCGGAATGACGTCGAGGACATGGGCCTTGTTTTCTTACATGCCCTCCCCTCGCCGGACGGACCAACCGCGTCACCGCCGGACCCACGCATTACTCACCTCTTGGATGGGTATGGAGACGTCTTCGAGGCTCCCACCGGAACGGTTCCGGATCGGCCCATACGTCACGGGATCACTCTCCAGGCTGGTGTCGTCCCTCCGCGTGGATGCATTTACCGCATGAGCGAAGAAGAACTAGAGGTACTTCGCGCACAACTCGATGACCTTCTCGACAAGGGCTGGATTCGCCCTAGTTGTTCGCCATACGGTGCACCAATTCTCTTTGTCCGTAAGAAGAACAAGGACCTACGGTTGTGCATCGACTATAGAAAACTTAACGCACAAACCGTAAAGAACGCTGACCCTCTCCCTCGGATTGATGATCTCCTCGAGCGGTTGGGCGGCGCGACGTACTTCTCGAAGTTGACTTGAAGTCGGGTTACCACCAGATTGAAATCCAGCCTCAAGATCAATACAAGACCACCTTCAAAATGCGGTATGGGCATTTTGAGTGGGTCGTGATGCCATTTGGACTCACCAATGCCCCGACAACTTTCCAAGCAGCCATGACGACTGAGTTCCGAGACTTGCTCGATCGTACCGTCCTCATCTACCTCGATGATATCTTGGTCTATAGTCGGACGCTCGACAAGCACCTCGTACACCTTTGCGCTGTTTTGGATCGATTGTGAGCAGCCAAGTACAAAGCAAATCGCGACAAGTGCGAATTCGCCAAGCAAGAGCTTGAGTACTTGGGCCATTATGTGACGCTGAAAGGCATTCGTCCCTTAGCGGACAAGATCCAAGCCATCGTGGATTGGCCGGAACCCCGTTGCACAACGGACGTACTCTTTTTCATGGGTTTGGCTGGATACTATCAGCGCGTCGTCGAGTCTTACTCCAAAGTGGCAGCTCCTTTGTCGAGACTTCAGTCTCCGAAGGTACCATTCGAGTTCGATGATGCAGCTTGTGGCGCTTTCAATACGTTGAAGACGGCGATGCAAGACACACTGGCCCTCCGTATCTATGACCCCACCGTACCCACCCAAGTGACTACGATGTTTTCAGGTACAGTATTGGTGCAGTGTTGGAACAATGCCACATGTATGGTTGGCACCCGGTCGAGTTCTTCTCCCAAAAGGTGCCTCCCATCAACACTCTCGACGACGCTAGGAAGAAAGAGCTACTCCCGTTCGTCACCGTTCTCAAACGGTGGCGCCACTTTCTTCTCGGTCGTCGGCGTTTTAAATGGAATATGGACAACAATCCGTTGACCTTCTATAAAACGCAAGACACGGTCACTAGTACGATA